ATCTTTACATTTCATTTATTTTATTTGATTTTTTTTTTTACAACAGATTTACAAATTGAGATTCTGAAAGCAGATGGTTATGAATAAATACTGTGCCTCTTGTAGACCAAAATTAATTGATTAACCTATAGAGATCAAATAAATACCAAATTTTAGACATTTGTTTGATGTAACAGTGATTATACTTGCTACAAATGTTATGTAGCTTTTAAAATAAAACTATTACTTTGGTTTTAATAAAGCTTTAATACATTTATTCTTCATATTTACATGCATATACAACTTACATTTACATTTAGTCATTTAGCAGACGCTTTTATCCAAAGCGACTTACAAATGAGGACAAGGAAGCAATTTACACAACTATAAGAGCAACAATGAATAAGTGCAGTAGGCGAGTTACAGGTGTAAAGTCTCAGAAGCAAAGGATTAGTAAAGGGTTTTTTTTTTTGGAGTACAGTTAGTGGTTTATCCAGAGAGGCAATTGCAGATTAGGAAGTGAAGTGGAGACTAAATAGTTGAGTTTTTAGTCGTTTCTTGAAAACAGCGAGTGATTCTGCTGTTCTGATGCAGTTAGGGAGTTTATTCCACCAACTGGGCAGATTGAATGCGAGAGTTCGGGAAAGTGATTTCTTCCCTCTTTGGGATGGAACCACGAGGCGATGTTCATTCACAGAACGCAAGTTTCTGGAGGGCACATAGATCTGCAGAAGTGAGAGCAGATAAGAAGGAGCAAAGCCAGAAGTCGCTTTGTAAACAAACATCAGAGCTTTGAATTTGATGTGAGCAGCAACTGGCAGCCAGTGCAAACGGATGAGCAGCGGAGTGACATGTGCTCTTTTAGGTTCACTTAAAATGTCTTTCTTAGTATTTTAAGTTAACTCAGGGATCTGTGATTTCTAGTATGTCAAAAAAAAATTACATTTAAGTTTTTCCCCCTAGCAGATTTACAAATTGAGACTCTGAAAGTAGATGGTTATTAATAAATACTGTGCCTCTTGTAGACCAAAATTAATTGATTAACCTATAGAGACCAAATAAATACCAATTTTAGACAAATTTAAGACATTTTTGTTTGATGTAACAGTGAATATACTTGCTACAAATGTTATGTAGCTTAAAAATAAAACTATTACTTTGGTTTTAATAAAACTTTAATACATTTATTCTTCATATTTACATGCATATAAAACTTTTAAATGCCTTTCTTGGTATTTTAAGTTACTATAAATTGCACAGGGTTATGTAGAACATGTACATTTAAGTTTCTTCCCCCTCGCAGATCTACAAATTGAGATTCTGAAAGCAGAAGGTTATGAATAAATACTGTGTCTCTTGTAGACAAAATGATTTGAATAATCTATAGAGATCAAATAAACACTAATTTTAGGCTATTTTAATAGATGATTTTTGATGGAACTTGTGAAAAATACTGGCTACAGATTATGTAGCTATTAACAATAAAAGTATTACTTTGGATTTAATATAACTTTGATACATGTATTCTTCATATTTACATGCATATACAACTGTTAAATTTCTTTCTTGGTATTTTTAAAGACATTCAAACTTGCTTTTTCTTTCATGTTTTTTTTTCCTCAGTGGATTCTGAAAGCAGATGGTTATGAATAAATACTGTGCTTCTAGTGGACTATAATTAATTGATTAACCTATTGAGATCAAATGAATGAAATTTAATGGATAAAATTTAATAAAATGTAATAGAATAAATGACTAATTTAAGACATTTTTGTTTGATACAACCGTGAAAACACTCGCTATGCATGGTTATGAATAAATACTGTGCCTCTTGTAGACCAAAATTAATATATTAATCTATATAGATTAAATGCCAATTTTAGGCTAATTTAATAGATGATTTTTTACGCAACTTGTGAAAAATACTGGCTACATGTAGCTATTAACAATAAAACTATTACTTTGGTTTTAATTAAGCTTCAATGCATGTTATACTTCATATTTACATGCATATACAACTTTTAAATGTCTTTCTTGGTATTTTTAGAGGTATTCAAACTTCTTTCATGTTTTGCCCTCCTCGTTGGATTTACACACTCAGATTCTGAAAGCAGATGGTTATGAATAAATACTGTTCCTCTAGTGGAGTAAATTAATTGATTAACCTATTGAGATCA